TATATATATATATATATATTTGTAATCTTATAAAACAGAGACAAGAAAAGTTTTAAATCATTATGTCATACATATTAACAAAATTAGCTACATTATCAAAATAAATTATATCAATATAGGTTATTGATTTCTAAAATATCTAAATAGTATAAAAATGCAAATAGGGCGTAGAGCCAATTTAATCTAACACATTAATTTAATTCATATGATAATACAATAAAACAAAATCAAACAAACAAGTTTCGACATCGATCGTGTCATTTTCAATGATACAGCAATATATCTACATAAAAGTTAAACTGTCATTACATAAATTCATAATACTAAATTCGAGAATCTGTGTATAAACTTAGACTTCATATCTGTTATTCCATCTTTGATCCTAATAAAAATATAAATTTTAACATTGTTTAAAAAATTCAAAAACTAAAAGTCTTATTCACCTAGTCACAAATTATTAAAATCTAATACAAATATAAAAGTCATAAATACCTTGTCAAAAATAAAAATCAAAATAAATCCATATGTAAAAGTCATTCTGCGTCAATTTAATGTAAAACATGTAAGGTTTAAACGGATAAGATACCTTGCAACTATCAAGCACACGTATCAATATTAAAGAAGATAATGTCGTTGGGAAAGAAAGTCAAAAGATATAATAATAAAAATAAATATAAACAAGGAAAGACAAATTTAAGACGAAGATAAAGAATGTATCATATTATTGTACATTTCTGGCAATAACTCTGTGTCATTTTGTCTGTTTATACCATGTGTCTGTTTTTTAATGTGTACCATTTCAGATATCAATCTCTTTTTGTACGAAGGTTCGATATCTAAAATTTCGACATTATCCCATTTAAAATTATGATTTAACTTTAATCTATGTTCCGTAATAACAGAAGGAGATTTAGATACTTTATTAATATCCGACACATGTTCTTTTAATCTCGTTTTTAGTTGTCTTTTAGTTTGCCCGACATAACTAGCATCACAATTGTCACAGGATATCTTATATACCACATTTTGGTTACTTTTATATTCTAAATTATCTTTGCCTCTTTTGATGTAACTTTTCAGTGTGTTCGGAATAGTATATGTTAATTTGCATTGAAACATATTGGCTATCGGTTTGAACTTTTCAGATATATTATTAACATAAGGAACTGTAAAAAATTTTTTTGGAGTATTATTTTTATTAGAAATATTATTCATATGGAATTTTATTCTATTATGAATCGAAGAAAAAATGAAATATAGAGGATATCCATTTTGTAAAAATATATTAATAGCTTCTATTAAATAGTTTTATTAAATAATAAATAAGTTTTATTAATAGCTTCTATTAAATACTTCTATTAAATATCTAAATAGTTTTTATCAAGGTTTTATTCAATAGTACAGAAATAAGAGAAAAATTATCCTAATAATTATATAAGAAAAAAATTACATTTACGATTTCAAGCATGCATGTCCTCATCGCCTGATAAAACACATTTTACATTTTATGTCTGTTTTATCCATGTTATTTTTGCAGTGACATTGCAGAACTCTTTTGTCGTCTGAATAAACTGGTGATGATGTATTTACGGGTCAACGTGCAATGTGCAAATTGTTTCGATTTATCTCGTAATAAATCTGATTGGCACTTTATTTTCATTTTTGCGGCGCATAATAGACCTTCTCCATACATGGACCTGTGCCCCGTTTCGTCGATACGCCAACGGTATTATTTTCACAAGCAAAGCGTGTACTGTCCATACGCGAGTTGAGAATTACTCTGATTTATCTCACATTTTATTAATATATCATGAAATGTTATTTTTTTTTTATTTTCGCGCACAACGCGGTAGAGTGGGTGCAATCTATTTGCTTTTATTTCAGTCGAACAGCGTTCCGTTGTCATCAGCGTTGTACCTGCTGACGTTTTCGCAATATTCACGAAAATATTCGTGCATACATCGATCTAAAAGTTTCGACTCGTAAATCCAACAAAAAGTTAATTAATTTCTCCGAAAAACTTTATTATCCTCTTAATACATCTTTTTATTTTACATGAAGATCGAATAAATATATAATAAATTATTCTATCCCCCTTTTTGGAAATAATCTTTCTTTTTTTGATGAATCGAAATACTGTTATCTGCTGTTTACTGTTATCTGTTGATTTTTAAGAATTCGGTTGCGATTGTTGAGGACTCTGTGAAGTCGAAACTTTTCCGTATATACCGATGTAATTATTAATAATAAATTTATATATATTTCTAACAACTAGTATAGCTCAATTAGTTTTTGACCTGGGAGGTAGATTAAGTTTAATTTGAAATTTATTTGAGCGGATATCAATTTAATTTAATCTGTTATCTGCATTTTGTAATCACAAATCTGCAAAACAAAGTTTTTAATCAGGTTGTACTGATACGTTGAAAATATCGATATAAAATGCTATTGGCTCATTACTAGCAAATATCTGTTTAATTAACAAGCTGTTAATTGCTATAATATTTTCCACAATTCTGATTTTATTAAACATGCGCAAATTGAGCATTGTGCATAGAGTATCATCAAAATGCCAATATCAAGTTTTTAAAATATAAAAATTGACAAATATTTAAATATGTATAATGAAATTGAGCTGTTTTATTGCTTGACTAATTAAAAGTTTCCCATAGGTTCAATTTTTTATATCGTGGTTAACAGATTTTACAATTTTATGAATATTTTAGTTACAATGGTTACACATATAACAAATTTTATTTTAATCCTTTCAAATTTCTCATAACCGAAATTTCAATATATATATATATATTGTTTTTATTACAAAAGATTGATATTTAAATAAAATACTGTGATAATTTATTTATATTGTTTATACGCAATTTGTACTTACTTTAATATCATATTCAATATTTTAAATAATTAATTATATATATTTATTTTTTTAATAATTAATACATTTTATATTACTGTTACTGTTTCATGATTAATTATTAAAATTTAAATAATTAAAAATTATTCATCCCAGAATACTGTTCTCTATCTTTATATTCTTAAACTTCGACCTCTCATAAAGTTTTTATCTTTCAGTAGTAATCTCTTCCTGAGAACATGCCAAATTTAAAATAGCTTGAATATTGATGTTTCAAATGCGATAAAGCTCATTATCACATCTGCACTAACAAAATATAATTATTATATTAATTTAAAATCTCTCTTATCTTACTTTCCTATTGCCAAGTGAAGTAAAATCGGCAGGATGAATTTCCCAAGAAATGTTTAATTTTCATCAGCTCAAATCAAACGCTCTCGTATACATCCTCGCAAAACTAATTTTTTTAAAATTCTATACACAAACTGGATGCACATTTAAAGTTCAAACATCGATTTGATTATCCGTTGTTTTCCTTTTCTGACTCTATATATATCTTCTCCTCCGACAATCACATTCGCAAAATTATTATATCGCATTGCTTTAATTGGCCGACAAGAGAGAAAGAGAGCTTGTTGCCGGATCGAATCGACGTTCCGTTTCTCGAAAATTTCAAACAGTAAATTGAAACTGTTTTTGTGGAATGGCGCTTAATTAAATTGTATGGTAGCTTCCGCAGGAGTATTCGCGCGCGGTCGGGAGATGCATCTGGGTGCGAGGGGATGCATGGTATGGGGGTGAAAAGGTAGGTGGCGGAGAATGAGGGTGGGTGAGCAGACTTTTAAAAGCGCAGCACGTGTTGCGGTTGTACAGTGTACTCGTTTGTCGGATTTCAATTATGAAAGGACGCTTCGAGCGCTGGTTAATAATGCATCAAATTTTGAAATTGACAAGACCCCCCTCGTTAAGGTGCCGCGCGTTGTTTCCGGTCTGAATAGATTTTATTGACTAAACTTTCATTCTTTCCACAGAACAAACTCTCTCATTTTATTTATCCTCTGTTATTTTTAGAAATATTTCGGCCATTTCATATTTATAGAGATATAGAAAAATGATGGATTGAGATCAACTATAGCTAATTTAGAAATAATAATCTGGATTAATCTTGCCATAAATAAGATTATTTATCGTTTTATGACATCTCTTCTATGTATTATTTTTGAATAATATTTCTGTAACACAATAAAAATTTTAATTAAATGGCGAATATCAACGAATTTAAATCAAACGTTTTAAATTTAACTCATTTTTAAACTCGCAATAATTTCATTATTATATATAATTTATTTTATTTTTCCAGGAGGATCCAGGACTAATACCTCGTCTCTGTAAAGGAATCTTCTCAAAGATCGAACAAGAGAGCGAGCATGAGAGGATCTATCGCGTGACAGTTAGGTAAATGCATTATCTGACAAAAACTTTTTAAGCTACTCCGAAAATAAACACGCGAAGTTTTTTAAATCCTGACTTTGAAAGTAAATTTCCCATTTTTACCTCTTACACCATTCGCGTAAAAAAGAAACGAAATGTAATCGTATGGTGATTCAATTTAATGTCCGCAAATTGTTGTAACTACTTCATTGTTGTTTTTCTAAACAAACGTATTAAAAAATAAAATAATACAACCTTGATTATTTTAATAACCACACTGAGAAAAGAGTATCTTAATTAAAAAGAAATATTTTTTGCTCGTATTAAAAAAATTGATTTCTTTATATTAATGAAAATTTCTTTAAAATTAAGATATTTTTTAATTGAAAAAAATAAGATTTTAAAATAAAAAATCTTAATTTTAGATAAATTTTTTAAAAAAGTAATTTTTTTTAATACGAGCAAAGAAATATTTTTTCTCAGTGTGCATTAAAAAGAAATTAGGACTAATAGATAATATCAAATTTCTTTATTATTATGAGGAAAGTTGTAATAATCCTCGATATTCTGATACTGTGGCTAACGTGATAAGAACGTCGACGAAAATTGCGAGTTTTCTTCGATACTATCAATAGAAAACTTTCCGATCGCCACTTAAGATGCTTGAAGTACTTCGATACTTTGTACTAAGTATTCCGGAAGATACTTGCGAATCGCGTTGCACGTGCCTTTCCTTTCACCACCGGAATTTTGCCGCATCTTACCACAGTTTCGATAAAATCTACTTGCATTCTTTTATTTTCCCTAGCGCGGCACTTTCAGATTTTTCTTGCAAATATATTAATTCTTTTTTGTAAGAATCAACTTTTTTATAAACTTCTTTATTTTTTAATTCTGCAAAATTTAAATTACCAGTTGCATATATTATTCGCACGTATTTATATAATATTATTTAAATATGCAATATATATATATATTCGCATTATATAACATATTCTATATAGAAATTTAATAAAATACTCCAATATCATTAACTTTCGATAAAAAAGAAATTTAAAGAAATAATTTTATATCTATCATATCATATCATATATACATATACATATGTGTGTGTATATATGTACATATATCATAACTTCAATTCTGTATTAGTATTATGATTTGTGTTTAAAAAAATGTACAAAATTGATTTGTGTAGCTTGCTCTTTTTAGCCGAATATATTTATACATTAATGATTAGAAAAGAACAATATACATATAATACTTTAACTATATATACATATAGTATGATAAGAGATATAATTGACGACAACAACAGTATAATATTGTTGTCGGTGATTAACGTTTATGCCAAATACAATGTTGTCGCTATTAACATATATTTGCAGAATAGTGTATCAATTTAATCACGCTGCAAGGCAAACAGATAGCCTTCGGAATGCCGATAACGTGCCCGCCTTGATAACTGTGGGAAAATCAACACTCTCACGTCGTGCCCTTTGCTCGCAAACACCGCACGAATACATGTACGCGAAATGTGGATACAGAAAATGATCGAAAAGTCACGAAACTGAAATATATACGTAGTATAGTAGTTATTCATTAAAAAAGTGCGTAAAAAAATATTAACTGTTATTACGATATATATGTGTCGACGGATATCCAATCAAATGTAATTTACTATATCGATATCTCGTTTTTTACTATCACTACGTTATTAAAATTAAAAAATTATGGAGACAAATTGCGCGCGAGAAACTATATATATAAATTATTTTATTTTGTTTATTATATTATAGTATTTTTTAATAGAATGTATATAAAGATCTGTTCACACTACCTCTCATAAAACTAGTAATATTAAAATATGTTGTTATATTTAACAACCGCGACAAATGTAACAATGGAATATTTGATTGCGTGATATATGTGCGTGACACAGGATTGGAAAGTTACTTTACAAGTTACTTATAACTCTTATAAGCAGCATTGAGAAGCGTTAGATTTTCCGTTACTTTTTATAATAAACATGACGTTGCAATTTTTTATAACTAAACGCTAAGGTTAGAAAAATCGACCTTTTAACCTTAGCATAACCTTAGTTATAACAAATTGCAACGTCATGTTTATTATAAAAAAAATAATGGAAAAGTAACGGAAAATCTAACGCTTTCCAACTCTACTTTTTATTATAGAAATTGAGAACAATATATTAACTGTGTTACTACTCAATTTCTATAACAAACACATATAAAGTAACTTATAAAGTTACTCATCCCTGTGTAACATATTCATTCACGTATGTACATGTACAATATTAAAGTATGGTAATATCATCGTAATAACTGTAAATTGTATATATACGTAACTTTTCGATCATTCTGCATGTCGACTATCAATACTAGCAAAAACATTGATGGTTCGGTCAAGGCCCGTCAATCGGTGCGCTTTTATCTATTACCATCAATAGTTTCAAGTTCATTCCTTTCGTGTCAGCGATTACGATGTCGTTTCGCGCCTAATCGCTATTGCGAATTGCTCCAGCTTCGATACGCGCCAGCACTATAGCAAAAGCTCTCCCACAAGTGTAACAATGACAAATTGATACTGCATCGAAACGCTGCGTTGCGCGGATCGCGAAAGTCGTTTCGCCGATGTATCGCCGTCGGCATGCGGATTTACTATTTATTCCGCTTTAATCGCTTTTACATCGTTGTCCCGTGTATCGAAATAGTGCACACTTGCGGGAACAAATCGCTCGCGATAATTGCCAATCAGCAAAAAAAAAAAATCCGCCGAGACGCAGTGTATCGTCGAAGTTCGTGACGCGAATAAATGGATAGTCCGACTTGGCGTATTTTTGGCAGTCGTTAAACGCGACGCTAGATGGAATCGAGGATTAGTTCGGGAAAAGCTGTAACTGCGTTGGCATAAATTCAATTCCGCAATCATTGATCGTGTTGTGAGCGTATCGAAAAGACAAACTTTGCGATAAGTGGTAGCACGAAGCTTTCGAGTTTTTCGGATACATGCTCGTTGAAGTCAATGAGTTGAACGCTGTAGGAACTGGTTAGGAAAAGAGTTTGAAATTCAAGTCACAGTATTTTCGATTTAAACATCAGAATATTTAAAAATTTCAGGGCTCTTCGACATTGTAATATTTAATATTTCAATATTTAACAAAATCTGTCTTTAAAAAGCTTTAACAATATAATTAAAAAATGTAAAGATGAACATTCAGAAATAGAGACATGTCAATTAATTATTTATAGTTTCTAAGTAACAATCGCAATCTTACAATAAATCTTCTTTCAATGACTCAAGAAAATTGGGGAAGGAAAATACTGTGAGTTAAGTGAAGGGTTGCGATGGGCGCGGTGGTGGAAGGGAGAAACGATAGTCGAGCTTGCGAGTCGCGAGGTTTACAAGCGCGGTCTGTTGGCCTGGATGTGTCTTGCAAGCTCAGTGCCCCGTGACTCGCAATCCTAGACGGACGCAATCTCGCTTCAACCTGGTAAGAATTATGCACCTTGAACATCGAATGTGCACTGTACCGAATTTCCTACATTTCTTATGTTTCACGCATTTTGACCGAAAAACACGGCAAATTTAGCTTCATGGATGCTCTCGACTTTCCGAGGCATTCCTAACATGCTAAACACTTGGATTCTGCAATCCCGATAAAGAAATCCCTCTTAGAATTTGAAATTCTCAAATCTTGAGTTATGTGGATTCGTGGATCTGCAGGATTTTTTTTATGTATTTCCTTAACCTTTGATTTATTGAAAATTTCTAGAATTTCTAGATTCTTCTATTTCAGAATTACTTTTTTCTAGAGTATGTTTTAAGATTTTCAAAAATATTGGAGCTTACAGATTTCGAGATTTTCATATCTTAAAAAGTATTTAAATCACCGAATTCAGAATCTCTAATTACTTACATTTTTCTCAGTCGCGTTTATTCCGCTTTTTCTTCTTTCGCACAACTTGTGAAATGAAAGTGATAGTAGCCCGCGAGGTATAATTACGGCTGCATGTCATCGAGGAGGGTATCTTTCTTTTTTATATCTATAAATATACACACTTTTGTGTTTATATAAAAGAACAATTTTTTGTTCTTTTATCACTCTCGCATTTCACAAAACAGGAAGTTTCTCATTTATACCACGTATAAAGTACAATATGAGTATCTTTTGTGTGTAGTAATAATGATGCTCATGATAACTTCATAATTCGATATGCAATTATTAAACACTTATGAAAATAAATAATAGAATGTTATTAGCGTTGAGGTACTTTTTAAATCACAAAAAATAAATCGTTTTATTATCGCCATTATTACACACGTATAATTTCACAAATAAATTTAAACGGGTTCTCGTTTGCATTCAATAAATATCTCCCTTTCTTTCGACAATTAAGCAAAGCATTTTATCGTGCGTATCAACGATCGGTTAGCAAGATAAAGGATAAATGAAAGGTTCGGATAACGATCGAAAAATATATAAAAAAAAGTATTCTCTTTCCTATTTTAATCTTCTCCCTTTCGATAAAACAATAATAAACGAAAGCGGATATTCTGGGTATAATATATTTAATAATAGAAGTAAGAGACAGTTATAGTCGGGCCTGCATCTGTCAACAATCAAGAAAAAAATGCATAGTAATTAAAAGGAAGACGGCAATAATTTTGTTGTCGATTTCACAGGCTGACATATTGGGTTCAATACGAAAAAGAGAAATCAGTCGCGCCAACGTTTCGTTTTGAGGCCGATTCCATTGGCCCATCAGCGTCCGGACGTAAAATCGTTAAGTGGGTCGAGCAAGAAAGTTCGTCCGAGGCATTTCTACTTGCCACCGTCGACTGTTTAGGGGTAAATTAAATTCAGTGGGGCGGGCGACGGGAGATAGACATGTTGCAAAAACTTTGGCGCCCGCGTTTCCTATTGAGCGAAATGCTTTTCACTAGGTAATAATGATCGGAGAATGGTTGTGCTTGAAAGATAAAGGAAGGGTCTTCAAATC